ATCTTTTTAAAAACAAAAGCTTCAACTTAACAGGACTGAGACAAAATTCTACCTTTTGCTGTACATAAATATAATACATCACTGCATACAGCTTCCATGCTTATACCATATGAATAAGTATACGGCAAAAAAAGTACGTCCATAAGACCTATATCCAATCAAAAATCAAATGCACTTTACGCAACAAAAGAACCTAGGAGAAGAAAAGTAGATAAATATAACAACGAAATTCTCAAAATCACCAACAAACATAAATATAATAACAACTCAACACTTAAAGCAGAGAATAAGAAGAAAATTATAAAACGTTTCGATAAAGTAAAGCGCTGTTACAAATAAAACCTTTCCAACAAGATTTACTTCAGTTTAAAGAACGCGTAAGATAAAAATAAAAATTTCTTTCTTTTAACACTTGCAAATCACTACTCGTACATGAAGAGTAATTTTCATACAATTTTTTTTTAAATCAATGGCTAAGCTTTGACAATACAATCAACTTACAATTGTAACTTTATCGAGAACTCGATTGAAAGTTAACATTTGTTTATAAGTTATTAATGACTAATTGGAAATTAGATCAATAATGAGATCAAACTTCAACAATTTTGCTAGGGAATAATTTAAGAAGTCGAAATATGCATAACAAGACTTTAGTTAATTGGTTTCCAAACTGAAATGCTTTCCACACAAGTTAAATGTAGGCAACGTCCAAAATTTTTTACCCATATCACCCAAATGTTTAATTTACAAAGAAAAAAAAAAAAAAAAAAAAACACACGAATTTTCATAATCAAATAAAATTTTACAAAATTTTTTTTCACAAGTTTACGTATGCGACTGGTTAAGATTATACTTTTTTATGGTATAACATACAGCTTGCAAAGATAAAACAATTTTAATGCATGTGTAAAGCAATCAACAGAAGATTTAACGTTTTAAAGATGTATTTCAAAACACTGATTTTTAACAACACTTTGTCCAACACTAATGCATTGTAAGACTGTAAGAAATATCAACAGTGAAATTTATGTATTATAGTTTGCAAAAAGCATTTTAAAACTGTAAAACATAATTAAAAGTAAATTTCATAGTGTTATAACACAATTTTAGACAGCATTAAAAACGATGTAATAAAGGAATGACAGCAACACTGCAGTATCATCTTTCTTTTGATTTTAATCAAGCAATGGAGCAAGGTCAATGGAGCATTACGGATTTCACTGAAATGTCAAGTAAAACATCAACGTGATTAGAATACTTTATTTAATACAATGCATCCATGCCTACTGCATAACACGACCGATTAAGGCTGCAATCAAGAAATGAAGTAACCAACATCTCTCTAATGACTTTTATCAATACGCCAAGCAAATGATTCGTCACAGTTTATTACAGATAACAAATCTATACCAACCTTATCTTATGCTCCGGTGACAGTGCACCATCATACCATGTAGTGCCTTAAAAAGAGGAAAAAAAAAAAAAAAGAATTACGATACTATGAAATGCGAAAATAATTACTACCAAACTCATTAAAAATTATGACCATTAAGCTGCCATTTTCAAATAACAATCTATTCTATAATCATAACTGTAACATAATATCAAGTGCAATGAGTTCAGCATGGAAGACTTGCAACTACAGAATCTCAAGAAATTATAAATTATCTTATAAATAGTGTCAATTCATATGTAAAACATAATATTCTGTATTATTTTTTTAATTTAATATTTTATACTACGAGAAATGTGTATATCAGTTATAATTGTGTTCGTTTTTCAAGTACTTGACATGGGCTCAACTATTTTTACTCTTATGGTGGCCAAGGATGAAAATCAGCAAAGGAGGGCCAGTGACATCCCATGTCACAAACTGTATATTTATTACTTCAAAACACACAGTTTCATTTCTTAATTTTAAAAAGCAAAGGATCAAGGATCTCGAACCATTGAGCGGTATACCTGCTTCTGCAATCGTGGGACATATAAACTTCTTTTGAAACAAGCTACCATCGCCAAACTTGAACTACGCGTGCAACCTCATACAATCTCATAAGACGCTCATCTTACGAAATAAATTTGCACAAGTACACCAAATAATGTTATAAATAAACAACTTTAACATTCTTTACTGCGGATGTACACAAGAATTATCATACACAATTTTAACAGCAGCTTGTACTTAATGTAAAATCCAAGAGATCAGCAGTTTTAACCATTGATTACTGTTGAATTATTGCACCACAACTGTGCTCGTGTCAATCAAGAGTAATTAGGTTAAGCTCTGATTGGTCGTGCAAATCTCCCACTTAACGCGTATTCCTTGAACGCAAGAGTATAAAAACTCCTCGCACGTAACAATATTCGCCGCTTCTTTTTTATTAAGTGCTTTAAAGTAACGATAAAAGTTGGAGTAGGAGTTCTGTTGCGTCTTTTAAGGGGATGTAAGACTTAGTTTGGTGATTAAGCTACGTGTTAAAAGCATGCATTTCCAGCAAATGAAAGACATAGCAACAAAAAAAAAAGGACTGTTGACTTTGGTTCTGACGTTCAAAACAAAAGCCTCATTATTGTTATCGCCAGGAGTGCTCTCGTGTAGGATTAAGAACATCGTTGCGGTCAACCTTGTAAGATCTTGTGACTGCGTGCGGGAAAGCAGTGACTAACTAACAATCATAGAAGTAAGTAAAGTTAAGGAAACTATAAATTGTATAACATTGTAAATGCGAACCTAAAACTTTAGTATGTAAAATATTTGTAAAATTAACTTTTTCTGAATTTTCTAAATTTACTTAATTATCAGATAAGACATAATTTGGTTGTTGATTGAATTAACTTTCTGAATTTAAAAACATTTAAATAGTTCAATAATATAAAACATTTCATGATTTAATAATTCTAATTGACTTTCTCATAATTTCTACCTTTATAGATAAATTGAATATGGAGGAATAATAAAATACACACTGTATAACAAAGACCTTTACAAAGACGTTAGATAAAAAGACGAAAAAGATATGTTATAACCGTATGACGTAAGGCATAAGCCGTAACAGTAAGTCAACGCCAGCTCTACGTACAACACTTCATGCATATCGTTCGGTGAAACCTAACACCACAATGCTGACTTAAATATTTCAATGAAAAGCATACTGTGAGTAAAAGAAAATAAGGCTTTTGGTTCGATGGCTGGTTCCTGACAAACAAAAATTAAATTCATTTGTTTGTAGAACGAATCTACGAGTTCTGCCCTTCACGTATAGAAGTTCGGATGTAACAGTTTAAAGAAAGCCTGCTCGATATAAAGATAAAAAGTTTGTAAATTGTTAAATTATTTATGGTTATTACTTTAATTTTAAATAAGCTGTTTTTTATTTGAATGGTATAAATAGTTGTAAGTGTGAGAAGTCGGAAATAGTAATGGGCAAGAAAAATAGAAATATTAAAAAAATGTTGAATTTTTATAAATAAAACGAACAATAAAAAA